AATTTATGTTAATCATAGCCTGTAGTCGGTCACGCACGAATAACATGCGTTGTCAAAAGATGTAATGCTGTAACTTAAAATCATAGCAAAACGAGGCATGGATTACCAGGACGTAATGTTGCTTCCATGCTATTTTCAAAGCTTGTCCTTGGTAAGGGATTAGTGATGTACATATAAAGGGATATATAAGATCGCGAGCGAGCACCAAACGGCATTTCCACTTTCCCGGGACAGCAGAGTCAAGATCGTATATATAATAGGTATATAGTAATAACGGTAAGTAACACGCACGGACGGCATGGATCGATATAGATGGATGGATGGATGGATGGATAGCCGACCGAGCGGACGGACAGACGGACGGTCGGACGGACGGACGGACGAACGGACGGACGGACGGATGGACGGACGGCTGGATGGATGGATGGACGGAAGGACGGGCGGCTGGATGGATGGATGGATGGATGGACGGACGGACGGTCGGACGAACGGACGGACGGACGGACGGATGGACGAACGGACGGATGGATGGATGGATGGATGGATGGATGGATGGATGGATGGATGGATGGATGGATGGATGGATGGATGGATGGATGGATGGATGGATGGATGGATGGATGGATGGATGGATGGATGGATGAATAAATTGATGGATGGATGGCTGGATAGCCTAGTTAAGGCTACATCAAAAAGTTGTTTTGTACAGATGAGTACATAGATACTATTGATCTATATGTGTCGGTGTCATTATTTCAGCCTCCCGATATGAAGACGCTGATACCTATTGCATTTCTCGCACTCGTTGCGGTGGTAAGTAAGTTCATCTACGAGATCATCTATGAGTTGCTATAGTAACCAACTCAAGCTAGACGCGACCGTCTGACGTGGATAATGATTTACCTCTATAGGATATGATCACATATGTGTGGCGTACGGCGCTCTCCTCTCGTTTCAGTCGTAAAATCACTAACGTTTATTATTCATGCCACTTTAACAACTGTACTTAACAGATATCATATATATATATATGTGTATATATATATATATATATATATATATATATATATATATATATATTATCAACATATTTATTTACTTGTGTATTTATTTATACACAGGTTGCTGGAAGCGAGTATAGCTATGGCTACGCTGCACACCCTTACTCGTATGGTTACCGACCACGTACGGCTGTCTACAGCTATCCTCTGCGTTCTCACTACGGACATGAGCGCTATCCGGTGACGCGCCACTACGTCAGATCTTACAAGCCCGTCGATGATTACACGCACAAAGTCGGCTAGTATGTCATCACCCCAGTAACTATAAATATGTGTGCATGTTGTGTATGATCATATGCTATGATGAGTCCAATTTTATTCACTTGTGTCAGCGACAGTTTAGATAACCATTCTAGCTGTCTTTGTCAAGCTATGTGAGGTTGTTAGCTTGGCACCATGTGGCGGCAGGTAACAGTCGCAGTAAACCGTTGAAGTTACTGCAAGCTATAACATGAATGTAATCAAGAGATTATTCAGATGCAATAGAAGGGGTAGATTCAGTTCGTTCGCTGTTCGCTGTTGGGACAAGCCTGGTTAGACTGAAAGTACGAGTGAGTGGACTGAAACTGATGTCGAAGTTGATGGTGATAGAGTGTAATCTGTTTTCGACGTGTTGGTAATCGCAGTAGTATAATGTTTGGCTTCACGCCAATATCACGTTCACGCTTCACGTTCTATAATCATTTTGGTTATAACGCTATATAGTTTATCATGCATAATCGTAAGATCTCTTAAGAGTTTCATGTCCTCCTGACGTAATATATTCGATTGCAGCGTAGTAAAAGATCGACATGCCGATGACGGTGATCATGACGATAACTACAAGCATAGAAAACATTATTCTTACGTCGATGATGAGGACCTTAGAAAGCCTAAAAAGCATTACAGCGGTTATTCCAGGTAAGGTCGCGAAACTCGTCTATATAGGTGTTTGTGACGTAGACATTTGACTTCTGTCCCACCACAGCCCCTGCAAGCGTCCCTTTCATTCGCACATACACACGCGTATGCGCTCTCATTGGCACACGCACGCACGCACGCACGCTCACACGCACGCACACGCACGCATATATAACACGCACAGTACCTACCCGAGCACATACGCGCGCACGTACGCACGCTCGAATGCACGAACATACGTACGCACGCAACCGCGCGCACACATAATGTCATTTCACTCGCAATTTTCGTCAACACACTGTTCTGCGAATGATCATTCTATAAGAAATTCTCCGTGTCTTTTCTCTATGTACTTACTGGGTAGGACTGATACACTAATATCAACTAACAGCAACAACAACAACAACAACAACAACAACAACAACAATAACAACATCAACAACAATAACAATAATAATATTAATATTAATATTAATATTAATATTAATATTAATAATATTAATTATAGCATAATTTTTGTTGACTTTTCTAGCCCCAACTATGACTACGCACGCGACCATCGAAAACCGAGTTACCACTACACCAACCCCAACTACGGCAGGACTTACAGTTATCCCAGCTATGCTAGGTACCACAGCAACCCGACGTATGGTAGATACCACAGCTACCCGAAGTATGGTAGATACCACAGCTACCCGAAGTATGGTAGATACCACAGCTACCCTAGCTATGGCAGGTCATACAGCTATCCGAGCTACCGCATTGGCGGATATCGTTCATATTATGTCTAGATTGATGGAGAGTCACAGCGAAATCGTGGAATAGTACGCGCGAATTTATCGCTCCAAGCGTGGTGTTTAGCTCTTGCTCAATCTACGCTACTGAAATGGTATATGTTTAGTTCGCAAGACTGTAGATTAGGTGGTGTTGGCGGCTTGCGCATAGAATAGGGTTATAGTTTCAAGAGAACTCGATGTTCATGTTTGATTAATTACTGTGTGCAATCTTTGTTGGTTTTTCTGTAACATGTCAAAAGTAAAACGGCATATTCTTTCAGCAATGAACCACATTAATTATGCATTTTCATATGAGTTGTACGATTTTGCTAAATAAGTCATGATGCCAGCAACTTGATTACAGTCATTCCGCACTAGTTAACACACATATTATACTGGTCATAAGTGAACAAAATACGAACCCCTATATATGCTACCGTTTAGGGAAATCCGGAGAACTATAGGCCTAAGGGACTTACTAAGGTAATGAATGAATTACAAATGAATTACAAAAGTAAAATATTGTGATAGATGTTTTCATCTCAAAACTACTCCTGAGTATATATCCATTCATGCAGTGACTGGAGGTTATTGGAGTTGTAGATAGCACCGATGTTATACGAAATGCATTGCTCATTGAGATGACCTAGTCTTACATCGGTTTAGGCGGGTGGGGGGGTGGTGGGCTACATTTATTACGTAACAGATAAGCAAGCA